CGATTTTATTTTACCTGTATACATCCCTATAATGTTTCTACCGGTCCACTGTGATTGACTATCTCCATCCGTGCCATGTACAAAGTGACTGACTGCCCGCCGCCTCTCCCCTCCCGCCCCCCCCCCCCCCCCCCGGACACCTATGATTGTTTATCGGTGTTAGTTCCTTAACTAAGTATGTATATAATGACTTACTGCCTCTTCCGGGTCATGTCCCACAAGCCTACTTTGGCTTTAACGGGCCCGAAAATATCAAAAACAAACATGAAAGCGGAATAAATATTATTAGTATTATTGCTAAAAATTTCTTACATAAACGTTCACAACCGGTGGCTTTAAATGGTGTATATAGCAACAACCTCTCATTAAAAGCCGGCGTTCCACAAGGCTCCATACATTCACCGCTCTTATTCAACATCTATGATAATGATATGGCTAGTACAGTTACCATGCTGTATCTTATGCCCATACGCCGATCATACCCTTGTACTGACTCGTCATGTTTCATACCCAAAAGCACTGGAGATGCACTGGAGATGCTTCAAGATTCTTGTAATGAGCTCATGGACTGGTTTAATCAAAGTCTGATTGATATAAATGTATCTAAAGCTCGTGTGCTTCCACAACCCTTTGAAAGTTGTTTCGCTAAACATTCCACTTTTTCTAAACAGATCTAATTGTTTTCCGTGCTATTGGAATAAAGTTCCATGTTCTGATATGGTAAAATATCTCGGCATTCTCTTTGACTCATCTATCATGGAATTCGCATCTCACTCAAATCTGTGCTAAACTGAGGAGTGTCTCCTGTTTGCTCCATAACATCAAAACATTCATGCCCCTTGGTTTGCACAAGCCCGTAGCTTTTTCATTAGCCTACAACCATTTGTGCTATGGCATAACTGTATTTGGCAAATGCTCTAGATTATGGCACAAAAACGTGAACGGTACTTTTAAAGAAATTTCGAGAAACGTGTGCTATGGCATGACTTTTTATAATTTAGATTTATTTCCAACTTTATCAATGCTGCACTTTCGATTTTTGTTCTTAGAGACGGTAGTGCTCTATTACAACTGGAAGGACGACTTTAAATCTACTCACTCATCACGCGGCAATTCCGGAAAGTTCCGTTCTACGTCGTTTCAACATGTTACACGCGGTATGGGAAAAACATGCGTTCATTTTATGTTCCTGGTATTTTTAATGAGTTACCACCAAGTCTCTGAAACCTTACTTTAAAAAAAACTTAATAAAGTACTACGCAATATTTTTCTCAATGAAGAAACTATGTGATCATCAACCTAGTTATTAATCCGTGATTTTTTATTGCTTCGCGCAGAAACTTTACTCGTATATCAATTATTGCTCTCATTTGTTTGTGTGCGAGTGGCACACTCTGTCTTTATGCTATAAGAATAACTACTTCAGCTTCTGTGCAATACCACGTTTGTGCTCATTTTCAAATATTGTCTATAAATCTGCTGGGCAAGAACTTGATCTTTTGAAGTTTGACTTTTGATGAAGTGTAACTCTGAACTGGTGCTATCTTGTTGTCTTGTGTTTGTGGCTTTTTCCTATTATTTTCTGGAACTTTCCTGTGAACACTAAAACTTTTAGGTTCAGTCCCACAAGCCCCTGTCGGCTTAGACGAACCTGCCTTCTGTTCATTTAAACTAGCCCAGCCTAAATAAATGTATTATTATTATTAGTAGTAGTAGTATTATTATAATCTTCTCCATGTCTCAGAGGGCCCTCCCACGACCGACGAAAGTTGATGAGTCGCGTTGATTTATTTTATCAAAACGTCCGCGGGTTACGCACAAAAACCGAATGTTTTTTTTTTCTAACGTTACTCTATCCAATTATTCTATATTTCGTTTAACGGAAACTTGGTTATGCTGTGACATTGGGTCCTCCGATTACTTTCCACCTTCTTTTGTGGTGCACCGGCGTGACCGCGACTTGGCCACGCGTGATACAACTGGAGGCGGTGTGTTGTGGCCGTTGACAGGCTTTTCCGCTCAAAAAGACGCGAAGATTTAGAAAAGTTTCCTGAGAGTTTATGGGTAGAAATTGAGTGTGGAAAGAATGCGCGCCTTTTTATTGGCGTATTCTACCTGCCTCCACAAACGACGCCCGACGACTTTCGCACGTGTCTCGCTGGCATAGAGAAAACCGTTAGCGAGTTATACGGGTGTAATGTCTTAATGTTAGGTGATTTTAATGCTCCAGGCATCAACTGGACGCAGTTTAACGTTTCTACTGACAACTTTTATTGCAAGCAGAAAGGCAACGACCTCCTAAACTTTGTTTCTTTTTTAGATCTTGCACAACACAACGATATTCTTAACCACCAAGGTAATGCTTTAGATTTATGTCTCTCAAACATGGACTGCGTGCGTGTAGCCCGAAGTGAAGTCCCTATGGTTCGTCTGGATAAGTATCATCCTGTTCTTGATTTAGTGCTTTTTTTTTTTGTTGATTTCTCGATTCGCGCTCCTATTGAGGCTTCTCCTCCACGCATCTTATACAATTTTTCATCAGGAGACTACATTGGGATATTCCACCACCTCTCGAGTGTTGATTGGTCTCCGGTCTTAGAATCCTCTGATGTAAATGAGCAGGTAGCTCTCTTTACGAGATTAATTCAAGAGGCCATGGACAGATTCATCCCATTACGATCTCTAAAGAAACCTCGCTTTCCTAGTTGGTTTTCTAATGAGCTAGAAACGCTACTAAAAAGGAAAGACTTCTTGCACCGAAAGTTTAAGAAAAGTGGTCTCCCAAAGTGGGAGGTAGAATTCAAGAGTTGCAGAAAGAAATGTAAGGTAACGTTAAACCGTGACCGCCTGGCGTATCGTGACTCAGTGGAATCTGACCTTGTCAAACATCTTAAGAAATTTTGGAGGTACGCTAGATCACATGCCGGGAAGGATGTCGAATCGGCAATAGTTTTGGATCACCATGAAAGAGATGCGGAGTGCGTGCCCGAGCTATTTGCAAATCATTTTAGTTCAACCTACAGAGACAGTACCGTCGGCGTCACCGCCACATTACCTCACTTGAATGAATTCGGTGAGCTACTAAGTCCCATTAATGTCGACGAGGAATGTCTAGAGCTAAGTAATAAAAAAATTAAAGCAACGCTATCAGCGGGGCACGGTGGTATACCTTCTGCAATTCTCAAAACGTTTCATGATATCCTCACACCTACACTATGTGCAATATTTAACAACTCATTGAGGTCAGGAGTATTCCCCGAAGTGTGGAAGATTGCAGTGGTCGTTCCGGTTCTGAAGTCGGGAAAGAAAGGTGATGTTCTCAACTATACACCGATTTCCCTTCTCTCATCATTTTCCAAACTCTTCGAAGCAGTCATTCATCAATTCTCGTCTTTCAAATGTCGAAACTTAACCCTCCCTAATCAACATGGGTTTATGACCGGCAGATCAACGTCTACAAATCTTGTAAGTTTTATGTCTACGGCATCCCAGGTAGTCTGCAACAGAGGTCAGCTAGATGTGGTCTACTTTGACCTAAGCAGGGCATTTGACGTTGTTAATCATAGGATCCTTCTGTCAAAGCTTTCCGCCTTCGGGGTTTGTGGGGCAGTATACGACTGGTTTCAGAGCTATTTGTCAAACAGGAACGCGTACGTTCGAGTCAACAATATGAACTCTTCATTGTACGGGGCAAGTTCTGGCGTTCCTCAGGGATCCGTCCTAGGACCGCTCCTGTTCACAATTTTTGTAAATGACGTCTCTGACGCTATTTCTAATTCTTCGTTCCTGGAATACGCTGATGACATTAAAATTTACAAAGAAATAGTTACTTCAGATGATTGCGCTAGGCTTCAGGAAGATGCATGTTCTTTTTTTAGATGGTGCTCAGCCAATTATCTTCTCTTAAACCGCGCTAAAACCAAGGTTATGACATTTACTCGAAAGGCACAGAATACATTTTTCGCATATAATATTCTTGGTGAACCCCTGTCCCGAGTATGTGCAATGAAAGATCTGGGAGTTTTGTTCGATCCTAGCCTGCGATTCTCTAGTCACGTAACTAGGCTCGTTAACTCGTCTCTGCGCACGCTGGGTGTTGCCTCTCGCTTAACAAGGGACTTCAAGCATCCTTCTGCGTTTCTCACGTTGTACCGCACGTAGTGCATGCCCCAGTTAGAATATGCCTCAGTTGTGTGGAACGGAATCTCTAAATCCAACTCATTGGAAACTGAACGAGTTCAAAAAAAGTTTATATCCATCTTTACACATCGCTACCCTATAAAAGATGTTCATTGTTCAACTTATGACGCAACGTTAGAGCGTGTTGACTTGCCGAGCCTGCACCGGCGTCGGCAAAAGGCGGACCTACTGTTTTTGTTTAAGACGTTGCATGGGTCGATTAATTCACCAAGCCTCTTGTCTGAAGTGTGCCTTAGGGTTCCACCTGTGCCTACTCGGAATTATTCATCCTTTTATATTTCCAAGAAATTTAGTCTTTTAAGCCCAATTATTAGACTCACTGAGCGTTATAACCAGTACTCTGAGAAACTGGATATTTTTAACTCGTGCTACAGGGCATTTATTATTTGTATTGAACACCTGTTCGGCGGGTGAATAATGATTGTGGTCTACTTTAAGATTGATTTCGGAGAGGACAGGCATTGTTGAGCCTGTCCTTGTGCTACTGCTTCGTATTCTATTCGCTTTGAGTGCGTCTCAAACGTTTTTATATTACTGCAATTCCTCTTCATTGTCAACAAGACCTAGCAATTGTATTTTGTTATCATTCAACTCAGTGTATGTCGTATATAATTATATTCAGTTTCTGTATAGTGCATTGCTCTTCTGTATTTCTGTGTTTTATGTATTCATTTTCATTCAGTGTGCCAGTACCAAGACCGAAAGGTTGTTCCTGGACACTGTAATAAACTTTGATTGTTTGATTGATTGATTAATATTATTATTATTATTATTATCATCATAATAAGTGAATCACTTACTATTTTTTTTCTTCCGCATCGTAGAATGTTATTGTAAAACTTGCTGTTTTGTTCGTTTTGTTTGTTATATTTCCTGTCACGGAGACACATTTATAGTCATACATGGGACCTTCGGTACGAAACATCAGAAAATAGGTTTCATTCGATGTTTCTTTTAGGACCTGGAAATCATGAAAACAAAACATGTATTCTTTTACGCAACATTTATTGGATCGTAATTGTTCCCTGTCAGCCAACCTTGTTGTTGGGTGTGACAAACCCCACTCCCAATATTACAAGAAGATGCATGGTACGGCCAACTAAATGGGGTACTCTCTCAGGTGTATGCGTTCGTATCCTATCAACAGCAACAATTGCTCAACTTTAAATCACGACAAGGTAATACAGTTTGTCTATAATGTATACCCTCAATAAACGACGCTCATATATTCAAAGTAAAGGACAAATCGAATACTTATAGTACTAACATTGGTTTCAACACGATCACGACATAGATGATCATGTTCCATTTTATCACTTAAAAGAGCGTATTTATGTGGCCCTGCAACATAAGTATATTATATACAGAGAAAGCTAATACCTCCAAAGTACGCAAATAATTTTAAACATATTAAGCAAGCGCATCAGAAGGTCTGATATTTTTGTAGTATCATAAAGTATAACAAAAAATGAACGCGTATACAACTCCCTGTAACGCTGAATTAGGACGCAGCTGTTGAGGAGGAGGAGGGAAGGGTACTGAGGGGAGGGTATGCCCCTCCTCCCTCCTCGTCCCCTCGTCATCTTGCCAGCCACTCCTCCTCCCCTCCTCATTGGAGGGGTGGAGAGGAGGGGGCAGCTTTGGCATCACGTGACCCCTGGGACGTCATGGGGGTCACGTGACCTCACGGTTACGCCGACTCCGACGCCGACGGTGACGGCGACGGCAACGGCGACGCCGCTCAAGCGAGAAACGGGCGCCTAAGAGCTGCGCTCTAAAAAATCATTTGCGTTTGATTATCCCATGATAGTGTGAAACGAGTCTCTGGAGATCCTTGGGTCATGCTTCATTACTTCTAGTTTTGATAGTTGTGTTTTTCGTGAGAGTGCAGTAAAGTGTTTAATACATTACTCAGGCGCATGGAAGGTTTCTACAATATACTCGATTTCTTGGTCTTTTATTCTGCGTTTCTTCCTGGTGACTATGTCGATCATACTGCGATCTTCTGTACAATTATAATCGCACTACGCCCCAGCGTTATAGATTATAACGCTAGGACGTGCTGCTTTCTCCGGTGACCGTCAAACTGGTGACATTGGCCGCAACTAATCTTGTCACTGGGGCAACATAAAACGATCCGCTCAAGGGCTGTCCTGACGCTTCGTAGGATGCCGCTGAACGCGGGAAACTGCTAGCATATTTCGCGCCTGCTGTGGTCCGCACATTGACGGCGTGAAAAAACAATCTTTTCCCTGAGTTCTTATTTTATCCTTCTTTTTTTTTTCTAATAATTATTGCGCCAGCATGTTCTTTTAGTTCCTTTTTTTTCCTGTGTCTTTTTGACGTTTCAGAAGAGCTTGCGTCCAGCCTCCTGCGTTCAACGGTAGCCCGTAGTGCTTGCCACGAGCGGTTCGTATATATTGCTCCACGGGACTACATTAGTTGCCGCAAAAGTTGTCAAATAAAACAAAAAGAACCGCAATAAGAATTCTGAAACACCTCCACAAACCGCTAAATTTCAGACGCAGGGCATGAATACCATTTTAACATAACTTACTGCTGTAGTTAATTGTCTGAGCAACAGTACAAGTAAAGCGATTTCTAAGATTCATATGTTTCTTGACTCAGGCCGATTCAGTGCACAGAACAATGTTCACTGCATGATCTTACTGCTACCTGTTGTTACCAGGCGTGTTGTCTTGGCGTACACCTGCCTAAGTACACCTTCACTGTTCCGACTTTAGTGGAATATTTGGTGGTGGTTCAAAGCTTCAGTTACAAAAATCACATGCTTTGGAAAACGCAGTATTTTTCACCAGAGGTATCTGACTCGTCTCAAGTCGCTTTGAACTCCCAGCAACCAGTCTCAAAGTTATGTTATCTTATATCCCCCTTGTTTTCAGAATCCCCGAGAGGTCACGTGACCCTCCTGAGGTCACGTGACCCTCGTGAGGCGACGGCGACGCCACTGGGCGGGAAGACTAGCAGACAGGATGAGGGGGTGAGGAGGAGGGAGGAAGGATAGACCCTCCCCTCGGTACTCTTCCCCTCCTCCTCCTCCTCAAGAGCTGCGCTCTAATTCGGCGTTGCAGGGTGTTCTAAACGGATTTCATTTTTTTTTCGAATATACAGGCTTGTTTTAAATAAGCTGTGAAAGCTACACGAATGTTGCCTGTGCATGTGAGTTACATGGCCAGGGGAACATATTGCGAGGTGCGATCAAAAGGTTCCGAGACTGGTTTCGGAGCGCAAAAAGAGATTACTGCGCACGGCAGACAAAGGCCTTCGTCTCTCATTAAGCCGAAGGCCGTTGTTTTGAGAACATTTTGAGCTGCGCTAAACGAGTCTTTGTGACCACGTGTACGAGCACAGCGGCGGTTTTGCCTCAGACTGCAAACCAGTGCGACAGAGAAGATCAATTCTGCGTCGGGAAAGCTAAAACAGAGACCTTTGAAATGACTCAGCGTGCTCATGTAAAAAAAAACAGTGAATTATGCAAAGTGTTTTCAGTGGCATTCGCGCTTCAAGAATGACAAAACATCAATAGAAGACAAAAAGAGGTCGAAAAGGCTCTACATTTGTACGTTTTCTAGCGATATTCTGTAATTTTTTGAAGCACGGGTGCCACTCAAAACACTTCGCACAATTCACTGCTTTTCGTCATAATTTAAAGTTCTTTGTTTTTTTACTTGTGAAGTTTGACGCAGATTTGATCTAGCAAGGTAATGAACATGTTTTAGTGAATCAACTGATTAATCGGGACGATTATCGACCTCTATTATGTCCCTCTGGCCGTCTAACTCACCTGGACAGACCGCATTAGAACAGCTTTCGTGTGTTTCTTTAAAGCAAATATGTAAATCCTTAACACGTCATGTTTCTCCGAGAAGGAGAGGGAACGGCCTCACGTCTTCTCTGCCTCGCTGCCTTGAGGGAGCGAAGCGAAGAGAGGAGTAAACTAGGTATCTTGACGTAACGCGCCTCGTCGGCCTGGTTCAATCTCACCTATTTTTCCCAAAATACGGCCGTCCATTCGACGAGATATAGCCTTACGAGTAGTGTTGTAGGGATTGTAGCGTCCCGCCTACATCTCACGCATTTTTTTTTTTTTTATGAGATCCAAATTTTGGTTTACCTTCTCTTTAAAGAAACAGCCTGTATTTCGTCCTCCACCCCCTCTTATCTTAATCACATACCTGCCATGCATCTTGCAGAGACCCAAGTCCAGCGTCGTTGAAGGTAGGGTTGTTTTCCGTGTTTTTTGTGGTCATTTTTCTCGTCCAGTGAAAGTCCGGCGTCCATTTCTCGTACTTCGGCCAGGCCTCAACCGTGGCGACAAATGCGAACAGCAATGCGTACTGGAGGCCCATTGCAACGGGTGCTGTCCACATTCAGTTCTGTTTTGAGATTTACTGAACACTGCCTAAGTGTAAAAAGGAGTGCCTATTTTTTTGTTATTATTTTAAAATACAGCTGCACCGAATCGTAGCTGGCGTGTGTGATGAAACATCGTTAAATTGGCACTCAAGTAAATTCTAAGATCGTATTTTTTTATTTTTTTTATGGTGATAGCACAATCTACGGGCTTAATAATCCTAAACAGACCAGAAATTACACTAATCGGCGGCCGATTTCTATATTAATAACATAATCAAAGATTGTGACACGTCATGGAGCAGACAGAAGGGGGCGCCGTCAGATGGCGGTTTCAAACAATGTCTGCTGTATTACGTCTCCTAGCCCCGAGATTTGAAGTTCTTGTCAAAATACAATACACACCGCGGCAAAAAGAGCAATAATAGTAAGGTTCAGAATCTCCACGTGATAAACTAGTTTTATTCGTAAAGTCTTATGGAGATCACAAAATGTACAGTTGGGGTAGTTGGTGTCGCCTCCTTCACTTTGCCCTCTATCCAGTTTTGTGGAGGTACAGGAAACCCGAAAATGCCCCCAAAAGAGAAAGTAGCGGTCGTGTATTGCTATTGCTGTGAGTTTACTAGGACTTTTTGCAAGTTTGACCTGGTCATTTTTATCGACTAAAGCCCAACAAACACTGTGCTATCAAAAAATAATCTTCTGGAAGAAGCAGTTGAGTGAGCTTGATTCCTAGAGTTTCGTTGGTTTTGTTTGGAGCGACTTTGCAGCGTCAGTGGGACAAGTGCTCGCCATACACAACACGGCAAACAATGCAAGAACTAACTCTGAAGTACAATTAGGAATTTAGGTTGTCCCGATGTACTCGTCGCTTTGATTTCTGCAGGCGCGGCTGACAGAAACACCTGAACCAGGGGCGACAGAAACGTCCAGGTCGCACTTCGTCCTACACGGCGTGAAAATAAATTAACAATTTGACTTATGAAAAAAAGTAACAGCAACTGCGGATGGGCGTATTCTAGTCCCAGATGAAGACACATTACCCACTTTTCATCGCAACCCAACCTGCAGTGCCGCGAGGCGTTTATTATCAAAAACAAGAAAACGAGATACGATATATACAACTATGGTCACCGACGCCTTCATAAACGCAGGGCGTATTGTCGCTCCGCGAAAGACGCAATTTCGGTATTCGCTGATAAGAGCGCCAAAGAACGGATCACGAAGGCTGTGTTCCAAAAGTTCCTCGATCCGACTCCAGCCGGCCCTAGACTCGTCATATACAAAATTGGAGCCGAAAGTTCCCGGAGCTCGCCCATTCGACGTCGGCGAAAAAAAGCGCCAAATCATCTTCGTGATAGGCCAATCGGTGCGCTCCGTCAACTTCGGTCCCAACTTTCTGTTTGACGAGCTTAGAAACCCAGAGCAAAGATTTCATGCCGTGGCGTCTTAAAACTTACTCGCGCTTACTCGCTGACGTCAGGAGGCGCGTTCCAAAAACAGGTTGTTTACTCTCCAGTAATTACTCATGCTACTTTCCTCCAACGTCACGTCATCTGCTCTCCGCGTGCTGGTGGTCTGTTTTCTGTGCTCAGAACCGTCAACGCTTGTCTGCTTCGTTGGCTTTGGTGGCAGTCGTTCGAAATGACAAATAATGAGGAGCTGTCATTTATGTGTGTTTATTGCGATTTACTGTTGTCAAGCACGAATCGACTGTGCAACACATCCAGACCGTGCACCTTCCGCAGGAAGGTATACCCGTTGCCATTATCAGAGTGCGAACGTGTAAACAAGACCTTCTGCGTATCCTCGTGCTCGGGGTTGGCGGGAACGCCGTATTTTTACGTTTAAGGCTGAAAACGTTTGAACGCAGTAGATAATATGGAAGTCACTTTTCTTTTTTTTTTATCCCAGAGTTTGCGTAATAAGTGGATAAAGCTTTTAAAGCAATGAAGGCTTGGAAGATTTTATGTATGTGATCAGTCAACGAAATTGCCTATTGCGGTGATGAAGTTCTTCCTGTGGTTTCGTAATCATATTTGCGTCAAAGCGAACGCAAGTGACATATCGCTGTTGAGAAAACCTCCCGCGCTGTATACCGCTACACCGTGTGGAAGCGGATTCCGAATTTCCGCAAAACGTAATCGGTGCGAATTACGCTGCGTGTATCTTATACGTTTAGGGCACTTGGCCCAAACATACCGCGATCGCGCTGATTAATAAAAGCAAATTTTTGATGTCTAACTGAAAGGAGTAAGTAATTTTGGTCTCAATATACAGCCCATAAGGATGGTGAGCAAATGAAGCCGGTGGAGCCACCTCAAAAAGCAACGCGTCGTCACCGTCTAAGAAAAACTTCGCAGCGGTTACTATTATCGTCTCTTCGAGTGCTTCCTCCATGACTAAAAGAGATCGTCTACCATTTGCCGCGAACCGCTGCTATGTTTTCTTTTTACCGTAGCCCAAGACGAACCAAATCCGCGTAGTATCAAGGTGATAATCCCGGCCGTTGGAAAAGCGAGTCCCGGATCGCTTACTTGCGATGTCACGTGGTATTACCCGCTGTCGTAGGAGACAGGTTACCCTGGTAAAATTTGGAACATAGCCGAAGCAAGAAGAGCCAGTTCATCCGTAGTGACTCTAGTGTACATCTTGGCAGATATACATTAATTCTGAAAATGGTTGTTACACCCATAACGAATGCAAAACAAAGAAGAGTAGCCTCTTCAGTTTAATTATATTTCTAAAACTCAAAACTCATTGGAAGTCTGGAAGCGTATATACCTGTTGCTACGGATAACCGATCGCTTCAGCCGGAATTTGCGAACTTGTTACGTTGCGTTGTCCCCTAACGCTGTTCCTAAGATATTCTATCAACATACATTAAAATACTTTCCATTGAACACCGAGTTACTAATATTGTAACGGAGGGGCGTGGCCTGTGGGGATCAGGCTCCTTGCTTTGTGATTGGTTCTTCGGCGGTCTTACCGAATTGATGCCGGCATCTTATTAGTTCAGGAGCGATAATGAGATGCGGGACTCCCCACGCCCTGCGTTCTTGAACAAAGCTAAAATAATAAAACACCATTTACAACTCTAGCATAAAATTCAACTCCACGAAAGTGAACAGGGCTGAAAAGAAATATGCCAGGTTGATATTCGAAACGTAAGAGAGGGCATGCTCGACTTATCTAGTTAAAAGAGATGATATCCTATTACTGTCAACAAACAATAAATCGTGGAACAAAATATTAATGGCATTAAAAATTATGTTTGCCAATTTTTCCAAAGCTATTCAACGAGACAACGAAATTTTTTTTTTTTCGTATTTCCATTTAGATTTTGTAATAATCGCTTTAAATTTTCAATGCTCCACGGACGGTGGATCGGGCTTCCCGGTATAACAGTTGAGCCGAAGTAAAACAGATATTGGTCGCGCTTCCCGCTTAAATTATTTATGTATATTATTTTATCAGTTTAGTTCTTTCTGCCTGTCATCGTTTCATCTGATTACTTTTATTATGCTGTTGTATAAAGCATATTAGAGTGTGGTTGTGACAGGGAGAGTATCGCGAAAAAAAAAGTAAGAACAAAGTACAACGCAGCAGCAGTCCTGTACACAGGCGCCCAATACAAATAATGATGACAGTAATACTTAATATTATTCTGGCTCTTTACTGCCGCGGCACCACAGTTGTGGAAGTTTGTGAAAAACCTTTGGGAAAAAAATTGTAGTTTGTTCCTCTAATCATCGCCTTGGCTTTTTTAAAATATTTGGCTGTCTGCTCCATTCCATATTATGATATTTCACCGACGTTCACTAGTACTCCTGGGGCCCTAATCTGGACACTTTGCAAAAACGTCAGCGAGAAATATGGAGGCCGTAGTCGGCCGACGCGAAGGTCAAGCGCCGGCCAATCAAGGGTGCCGGAATTCTCGCCGACTTTTTGGCCAAGTGTCCCGATTAGGGTCCCTGGTATCCTTTGAGTTTGGTATCCGCTGTACATTAAAAGAACTGAGCAGTCCTGCATTAATCTCCAGTTCGGTCACAGCGATAGCGGCGACAAGTCACGGCGAAGTCGAAGGGGCATCAGCGTCGCCTTCACGCACCGTGGGTTGCGCGAACAAAGGCGCAGCTATAGCTTCCGGTCTACTCCCTAATCCTTCCAATCAGAGCTCGGCGTTCTGACGTCACCGCTCGTTCTCGTCTCCTCCTCTCCCTCAGTTTCTCAGTGCATAGACATCTGAGCATTTTTTTCCGAAAACTTGTTTTTTTCTTCTTTCTTTCTTTTTTTCTTCTTTTTTTTTTTTTTCTTCCGGAACGCGTCTGTTCGCGCGAGCTTTTGGCACTGGCAGTTTTAAGCGCCGTTCACACTCTTGCGACCGAGTAAGACCGAGAGAGACCAGACCGGTTTTAAGCCTTTTGCGACTTCTTAGGACTGAATGCGCTACGGCGGAGCTTGTCCTAACAGATCGCAAGTGGCTTAAAAACCGGTCTGGTCTCTCTCGGTCTTACTCAGTCGCAAGAGTGTGAACGGGCCTTTACAACGTCATTTCGTCATCGGTTTTTGTTTTTCAAAGAGCGCGTACACAAAACATCTGATACTGCGAAAAAAAAAACACTTTAATATAAAGGGGGGTAATCAGAAATGTTCTACGCCGGGTGAAAAAAATAAAAACGTGCATCCCCTTCGTGGCAAGTACTTTCTTTTTTTAAACTGCACTGTTCGGTATTACCAACCAAGTTGTGGCTACAGGATAAGAGTCTGTGTGTTCCGTCGTCAGCAAACTGTACATTATGTAAACTGCTGAAACAGTTGAACATGTATTTATTCATCGCTGGGATTCGGCTTTCTTTTTGGGCGTTTTGCAGCGCACACAAAGGAAAGATATTAATGTTAAAACTTACACGATTCGTTTCCTTCCTGCGTCATCTAAATATGGTTTTACATTTCATTTTGCGATGCTTGCAAGCGTGATATACCACGGGGGAATCACGGCTTGACATTTGAAATGAGAATTCGTACTCAAATTTACAAATTTACTTAC